CCATTGCTCTCAGCATTATTCCCTCAGGTACAGTGTCTCACTGAACCTGAAGCTTGCCAACTGGCGCTAGGCTGGCTGGCCACTGCACTCCCAGGGTCTACCCGTCTCTGCTCCCGATGGGGTTAAAGGGTGCACAGCCATGCATGGCCCCTTACGTGGGTGCTGGGGATTCAAACCCAAGCAAGGTCTCATGTTTGTATAGTAAACTCTCTCACCTACTGAGCCATCTTGCCAGCCTCGACTTCTGCGTTTTTAGGTATCAATTAAAAAAAAAAATAAATTGAGCTGGGGAGGCACAGATGCAAACACTACATATTTGAGAGCAACCTGAGCTACATGGCAAAACCTGGTCTCAAAAATTCAAAGGTTGGCCTGCACTTCAGTGGCCATGTGTCCCTAGCGTTCCAGGCTCTCTTACAACATTGCAAAATAAATAAACAAGCAAACAGTGAAAGTTTAGCTTACACAAAGAGAAGTCAAAGGAACCAAAGGAGCCAAAATTATTTAACAATTTTTTTTCTTCTTTTTCACTGTGCATGCGTAAGACTATAAACTGCTCTTTCGACTCTGCTTTAGTTGAAACCAATTATTTTATGTGTTGTTTTCATTTTAGTCAAATTAAAAATGTTCTAATTTCCAGTATATATATAGTGAGTCCCAATCTAGTTTGGGATACAGAGTGAGACTTTGTCTCAGCAAAGCAATTGTAACTTTCCATGATAACCTTAATTACACTCTGGATTATTAAGATCTGCATTAGTTAATTTCTAGATATTTGGATATTTCCTAATTTTTTGTTGTACATTTCTATCTTAATTCGGTTTTAATGCAAGAGTATGCCTGGATGATGTTTTTAGTTCTTGAACAGAATGTGTTCTATCTTTGTGACTTGTCCATACGTCGTGCACTTGGGGAGAGTGTACAGTCCTTCCTGATGGAGTGGCCTATGATTGGTCAAGCAGATGGAGTTGACTGATACAACTGACCAACAGCTGCTGTGACAATATTGCTCTTTCTGTCTGCTTGTCCTGAGGAATAATTACTGAGGTCTCCAATGGTAGCTATGAATTTGCCTACTTCTCTTTTTGGATCTTAGTTCTTACTTCACATATATATTTTTAACTGTATAAAGAAATTAGTATTTAATATCCAAAACATTGTCTAATATCTTTATTTATTCTTATTTGTCTTATTTGAGAAAATTTTTGGCTTGACAGTAAAATGAAGGCGGCACAATGATCTCCCATAACCATTCTACCGCACAGCTGCCGTCTCCTCCCACGCCAGTGAATGCAATTGCTAAACCACACTGGAATACACCATTAATCATCTGCAGTTCAAGGTGGGCTTCACTCTCGGTGGCTTCTGTTCCGTGGGCTTGGACAAGAGCATATTGAGCTGTATCTGTAACTATGATGTCAAACAGTCTTCTCATTGTCCCAAAGTCTTCTGTGCTCTCTCTTTGTTCTCCCACCCCATGCTCTGCTGTGAGAGGCATTGCTGCTTAGGATTCCTGTGTCTTCTTAGAACGTTGCAATCAACTTTCCAGGGTGTTTGCTCTTCTTTGTCTGCTACTTTCTTTGTCCTGAGGTCTGCTTCTCAGATATTAAGATAGTTCTTTAATTTACTTTCATGTTTTCATGAGACACGCTTTATACTTGCTTCCTTTGCTATAACAAAACACCTGAGGTTGGGAACGTTATAAAGATATTTACCCTACCCATTAAACCGTTGGGGAGGTAAGAAAAGAGATTTGTTCAGCTCACAGTTTTGGAGGCTGAAAGTCTGAACACTGTTATGCATTCTTGGATAAGGGCCCTTTGCTCACAGCACTTGCAAGATGGGCGTTGAGAAGGAGACAGAGATGGTAGGCTTGCTTTGTCTAACTATTATCTCTCAAGAAGTAACCAGGTTCCCGTGAGAATTACATCATTTTGAAGGAAGTACCCATAGTGACCTTGACCTAGTTCATAGCTCTCGTATGTTACATCCCAGCTAATTTTTGTACAGTAGTTTTAGCCGTTATTACATTTCTATCCTTTCCATCCTCTGTCTCAGCTCCCACGGTTCCACATGTGTTAGTTTACTTGATGTTGCTACTGGAAATCTCAGATGTTCAGTTCTCAGCCTTTCTGCTGGTTTCTTTGGGTGATTTCAGTCAGCCAAACCCATTTTTAAGAATCCGGACTCCTTTTTCATCTGACCTGTGTCTACCGGTGAGCTGTCTAGAGACATTCTTTACATCTGTTACTTTGTTTCTTTCCTTTCTAGCATTCTCTTAATCACCTTCACCTGGCTTCTGAGTCTCTGCTGAAACATGTGTGATTTTGCATTTTTTAAGAATGCCTTTAGCATGTTAATTGTAATTATTTAAAATTACTGTCAAATCACTCCAATATCTGAGCCACATCTGTATCTCCTGATTATCAACTTTGTTTTTTTGTATATGCTGACTTTTGAAAAAGTCAGTAGGTGCTGGCAAAAACCGTTCTTAATGTCTGCATGGGCACACCTTTCCTTTTGCTAGGCTTTCGCTGTGGGGATTTGAGTTAATCTGGTTAGACATTGGGTAAGTTTTAAGGTTTGGAGTTGCTATGGTTCCCCTAGATGCACTGAAGGTTTCCCATCCTGTCGTTAATACCATATGCTTAAGATGAGGACTAGTTGGGGCTGGAGAGATGGCTCAGTGGTTAAGAGCACTGACTGCTCTTCCAGAGGTCCTGAGTTCAATTTCCAGCACCCACATGGTGGCTCACAACCATCTCTAATGGGATCTGAAGCCCTCTTCTGGTGTGTCTGAAGAGAGTGACAGTGTACTCATATACATAAATAAATAAATATTAAAAAAAAAAAGATGAGGACTAGTTGCCTAGAGGCTTCTCTCTGATGTCCTCTGCATGTGTGCTCCACCCTCAGCTCTCCGTCCTCCCTTCACGTGTCCTCCATGAAGGTCTGGGCCCACACTCTCCTCCCCAAAGTGCTCTTCTCTAACTCTGGGCAAGATTGTGGCTCAACCATTGCCTCAGGTATTATGTCCCTGGGGCTTCAGAGGCTCTTCAGAGCTCCTGGCTCGCCCTGAGGTGGGCAGCACCCCTTCTTGCTCCTCCTCTAGGAATCAAGGCTTTTATTCCTGTTCCCTTCACTTAGCTCACTAATGAGAATCTCAGGGCTACTGCTTTTAGACTCATAAGTGCGACAAAAACATATTCAGGTCACATTCCAGGAATCACTTGATGTCACAGAAAACCTCAAGTGTTCCTGCTTGTTTCTGTTGGCTATTTTGGCCACTCTCGTCCAAACAGGAAGGTCAACCGTTTCCCCACTTTCCTGTGGAGATTCATACTGAGGAGCCAATAGCCGCTGAGAGCAGTCATACATAGATTAGACATCTTACATTGCAGAGTTTTCTGTCACTCTGTCCTACGGCCAGGAGTAACCTTCTGTGTTTATCCTCAGCACCAAAAGCTATTGCAAGGTAGAGTAGAATGTTTTAGCCACCAGTGGACTGTTCCTTATATGGGCATATACACAGATGTTATATGCTAGCTCTTGATTGGTCCTGTCTTTGGGCTTGCTTCTTAGAGATCTTGAGCTAAAAATAACTGCTCAAAGTGAATATAGAAAACTTACTATATTGTAAGTTGCACACAATATACACACTATATAATAACAGTGACAATGGTTTTTTTTTTTTATTACAAGATCTGGATGAATTGCCCAGACTGCAGTGGCTGTTCATAGACACCTTCCCACTACTGTTTGGGATGGATAGCCCATGGTCTCCTACCCCTGAGAGGTCACCATAAGGATGCCAAATACTGTGTGGACACTAATCAACATAGGATACTATAGCCCTGAACCCCTGGGCTCAGTGGTTTCTCTTGCCTCAGCCCTCTAATAACCAGGAACATGGGTGTTCTCTGCAATACCCAGCTAAATGCAGTCTTTTAAGCCCAGAGTTTTCAGTAGAATTGTTTTTCAAATCTTAAAATAGGCTGGTTAGGGTAACAAGACACCTCGCATTCATTCTTCAGCTATGCATTTTTTGAAAGAGGAGGTTGTTCTTCATTGAGGGACACCCCCACCCCCCACCCCCCGCCAAATATAGTAGACATCAGAGAACTAACTAGACCAGCAGAGACCCTGACAATCCTGGCACCTAAGTATCCCTCTCTTGGTCCTTTGTTATTTAAGACCAAGACTCATGACTTCAAAAGTTTTATTTTTCTGTAGCATTATTAATCAAGAAGGATTGTAACTCTTTATCTGTAGCACTGACTAATCATATTCCTGATGATGGCTAAGTATCCTAATCAGTCCTCTTCCCTGGGCAAATGTTATGTGAACAAGCGTCTTTGATTTGATAGTAAATGCTACAGACACTTTCTACATCTCCATTTGGAAGGGAACTCTCTTAGACTGAAAGTTTAGGTATAGCTTTTTAGAAAAGTGTGAGTGCATTGGTCCATGGCTCACTAGACTAGACAAGCTGCCCAGTGAGCCCCAGGGATCTTCCTTCTCTCCCTCTCCAGTGCTGGGATTTCAAGTGCATCCCACCGTGTCTCATAGTCTTACATGTATTCTGGGGATTAGATTCAGGTCCTCATGTTTGCAAGGCAAAAGTGTTTTACCAAAGGAGCCATCTCCCAAGTGTAGAATCTTAATTAATTAATTTTTAAAATCTTAGAAAAACCCAGTCTTTATGTGTCAGTGTATATGATATATGTGTGTAATGTAATGTGTGATTGTGCGGGCATGTGTGCGTGTGTGTGTGGGGGGTGGGGAGTATTCATGTGCTTACAGCACATGTGTGGAAGTTAGAAGACAACCTCAAGGTACGTGGCCCAGGTGAATCTGGTCCGTCTGAGTCCTGGCTGAGGAACTTCTGTTGGTGTTTGGGGTCGCAGGAATCGGAAAAACCATGGATGACTCACACACGCTCTGAGATCTCCTATAGATCTGGGTTTTCCTGGAAACCTGCATAAACTTGATAGGATTGTAGAACAGACCTATGGCTGGTGGTGGCAGAGTCAACATCGAAGTATGCTTCGTGGTGTTCTGGGAAAGGCCTTTCGACTTGCTGGCTACACCATTCAGTATGGCTGTATAGCTCATTGTGCTTTTGAATATGTTGGTGGTGTTGTAATGTGTTCTGGACCATCAATGGAACCCACAATTCAAAATTCAGATATTGTCTTTGCAGAAAATCTTAGCCGACACTTTTACGGCATCCAAAGAGGTGACATTGTAATTGCAAAAAGTCCTAGTGATCCAAAATCAAATATCTGTAAAAGAGTAATTGGTTTGGAAGGAGACAAAATCCTTACCACTAGTCCATCTGATATCTTTAAGAGCCGTAGTTATGTGCCAACAGGTCATGTTTGGTTAGAAGGTGATAACTTACAGAATTCTACCGATTCCAGGTATTATGGGCCTATACCATATGGACTAATAAGAGGACGGATCTTCTTTAAGATTTGGCCTTTCAGTGACTTTGGATTTCTGCGTGACAGCCCAAATGGCCACAGATTTTCTGATGAATAATAAGTATTTCCTTTTAACTTGATTATTGTCTCCTATTCAAGTGAATTTATTACTATAGTTGAAACCATGAACTTAACAATAAACTATTTGCTATTCAATTTTATGTTTTAAATATAAGAGTAAATATCACATTCTGCAATATATATTAAAAGTATTTGGATAAAAATTAAAAAAAAAAAAAAAAAAAAAGAAGACAACCTCAAGTTGTCAGGCCTTGCCATCTACCTTGTTTGAGACAGTTTTTTTTTTTTTTTAATGCTTAGTGTGCCAGACTAGCTGGACCTTAAACAAAAGTCTTTAAAAAGGGATGGAAAGATGGCTTAGTTCTCGAAGAGCCTGCATTGAAAACATGAGACCCCAAGTTCAATCCCTGGGACACTGTTTGTTAGCCCAGAACTGGATGGGTGGAGATAAGATGGTCGTTGGGGCTTGCTGGCTAAGCCAGCCTAGGTTAATCAAGGAGTCACAGGCCGAGGGAGAGATGCTGTCTCAAAACCAGAGTGGAGGTTGAGGTCTGCAAGTGCACATGTGCACATTCGTCCCCCTTATGGATAAATCCTTCACAATAGATCCTTAGGAGCCCAAGCAAGCACGCAAAGCCACTCCTTTAATCAGGCTCAGAAGTTACCCTTCCTCCTCTGTGCATTCCCCTATCCATCCACTGTCCCTCCCGCTCCTCTTCTGGGTGTACCTACCTGTATATGAGCATCTCTTAGCACTTCCATGCATCTGCCCTTCTTTTTCCTGTATTCTGCATCCTTCAGTTTGGATATTTTATCCTGATGTGTCTTCATTTCTTTAGCTAAGTCTGATCTGCCTTGAAGTGCATCCTCTAGGTTAGTTGAAGTTAATTGTATTTTTCAGCTGTTGAATTTCCATTTGATTCTTTTTATAGTCTCACTATGAGAATTTTCAAAACCTCTTAATTTATTAAATGTATTATTTATTGTTATGTCAAAGTATACATCTGAGAATACCTTCTCTGAATGTCATTTGGCCCCGTTTCTGTTTTCACTTGCTTTTCAGCCAAGGAGTCCCTAGTATGTATTTTCTTTTTCTTTTTTCTTTTGTTTAATTGTGAGACAGTACCAGTATAAAAGCCAAGGCTCTGGCTGATTCTCTGTCCCTAGAGACTTGTTTCTAGAAGACACAGGGGCTGGAAGCAGGTTTCTCTAACATACTTGAGCTGGGGCTGAGTTGAGGCTCACCTTCAGTTCTTAGGGACACTGGACTGTCTCTTGTCATCATTTTTCCTAGGAAACAACGCTAGTTATATATATTATAGTAATATTTTTTGGGGGGGGTTTCCTGAGATAGAGGCCTTGAACTCATGATCCCCCCACTTCATCCTCCTAAGTTCTGTGATTGAAGGCCTGCCCCACCACACCCAGCTTCTCCGCTAATATTTTTGGTGTTTTGGTGCCAGAAGCTGAGCTTAGAGCCTTCTGTTTATGATAGGCAAGTGCCCTACCCTCTGACTACACCCCAGCTTTTGCTATTTTTATTTTTTTCCTGCTAGTAAGCAGAATCTATTTCATGCATTCATTGTTTATTCACTTACTTATTTTGTGTTAACATGTATACAATGTGTTTGTGTATGTAGGTACACGTGTGTAGGTGTGTTCATGTGTATGATATACATATAACCCTGGGTGGGAGCTCCGCCTTGTTTTTGAAGACAGGGTCTCTCATTGACATGGATCTTGATGACTGAACTGTGGCTTTTAAATGTGGCTCATCTTTTCAACCTTTCCAGACAGTATTTGAAACAACCCTCACCCAGACGCTGAAGTGACCCCTGACCCTGCAGCCCCAGCATCTGCTGATGCTTTTATTGTTTTGTTTTGGTTTGGTTTTTGAGACATGGCTTCCCTGCATATCCCCAACTGCCCTGGAACTTGCTTTGTAGTCCAGTCTGCCTGCCTCTGTCTCCCTAGTGCTAGAATTAAAGGCATACATTAACACCGTCCTGACTTTTTTCAACCTGATGATTTTCTTAACTTTCTGATAGTGAAGTACTTCATTTAAAAGGACAGTTTGTTTTGTGTAAAATCATCCAGTATTTGAAGGGGGAGGACTACATTTCCAGCACATCGTAGTTTTAGAATCAGAAGTTTTCACATGTTTGATGGGAGAAAGGTTTATTTTCACTTGGCAGTGTTTCTCTCTCTCTCTCTCTCTCTCTCTCTCTCTCTCTCTCTCTC